CTCCTCCGCCGCTCCCGGCCCGGCCCCGGCCCCGCTCTCCTCCGTCAGCATCAGCTTGTTCACCTGCGGGTGGTCCGAGGAGCGCAGGCTGCGGGCACAGGGGCAGGGGATCAGCACCCACCCCACGGCCGGGCTTTGTCCCTGGGGCCGGCCCCGGGGCAGTTTGGGGGATGCAGGCTGTGAGGGAACCCTAAAAACTGTGACTGTGGCCCTTAATTTACACCCCTCTGCAGCTCTGCCTTTAGGGGTGGGACAGTCAGGGCAGTCTGGGGGTCGCAGGCTGTGGGGGAACCCTAAAATCTCTGTCACCCTTGTCCAAAGCCCCTCCCCAGCTCTCTTAGAACCACCCTGGGCACTGGAAGGGTGACTGGAACCTCAAAAAGCTCAACAAAGAGAGTGACGGGCAAGGTTTGGCCCCTGGGGACTCCCATGTGGAGTGGGGGGCACTCAGCTGGAAAACAGCTGTGGGAAAGGTCCTGGGGTGCTGCTGGGCCCCGGGGGGAGCACGAGGCAGCAGCGTGAAGGGCTGCAGAGCGTGAGAGGTGCCCTGGGCTGTGTCAGCACTGCCAGCAGGTCTGGGGAGGACACCCGGTGATCCCAGCTGATAAAGCCACCCCGGGGCAGGGGTTTTGTCCTTGGGGACAGACAGAGCAATTTGGGGTCGTGGGGAAACCCTAAAAACCATGACTGTGCTCAGGCCTGTGCTCCTGGGGACAAAGAGCCTTTGGTGACAAAACCCCTGGACCGAGGTGTGACCTCCCCTCCTGAGACCTCCAGGGGCCACGAGCCAGGGGCTCACCTGATGAAGAGGCTGCAGAGGATGAAGATCACCAGCCCCACGATGCTCGGCGCGTCCCACCAGGTTGTGGGAGGCTCGGTGGCCGTGGCTGAGCCAGTGCTGTTCCTCAGCAGCAGCGTGGGGTTACAGCGCCGGGCTGGGGGACACACGGGGGGTCAGTCCCCAGGAAACAGAGGGACAAACACCCACTCCAGTGAGTGCTCCTGCCCCATCCGTCCCTCTCCCAAACCCAAGGCGGTGTCTGGCTCACTTGGCACGTTGGCCAGGGCAGACCAGGTGACGTAGATGGTGTAGAGGGTGATGAGGGATGCCTGCAGCAGCCCCGAGTGTGGCTGAGCCTCCTGCAAACACAACAGAGGGTGCTTGGGGTGTTCCTGTACCCTGGGGTGACACAGCCCCAATCCCCTGGGTGCTCCTGTACCCCAGGGTGACACAGCCTCAATCCCTTGGGTGTTCCTGTACCCCAGGGTGACACAGCCCCAATCCCCTGGGTGCCCCTGTACCCTGGGGTGACACAGCCCAAACCCTGGGATGACACAGCCCCAATCCCCTGGGTGCTCCTGTACCCCTGGGATGACACAGCCCCGATCCCCTGGGTGCTCCTGTACCCCAGGGTGACACAGCCCCAATCCCTTGGGTGCCCCTGTACCCGGGGTGACTCTCCTGGGTGCTCCCCACTGCCTCACCTGGATCTTGGGCAGGATAGACACCACCGAGACGAGGAGGCAGAGGATGAGGTTGATGCTGATGAAGGCCTTGCCCTCCGTGCAGCCCTCGGGCTTGGTGTAGTAGACGTAGAGCAGCGCAACGGCCGCGATGGAGGCGGCGTAGAAGATGAAGGTGACGGTGCACAGGGCTGGGGGAGGACACAAAAGGGGCTGGAGCGGAGCCCCCAGTCCCAGCCAGCTCGGCCTGAGCTGGCCCTGGGCTGAGCTGAGCCCCACAGCCGCGGCTGGTGCCCCCACACCCACCTGCGTACCAGCCCTTGGCGTTGCCCTCGTCCACGTTGCGCAGCCAGCGCTGGCTCCAGGAGTGCGCCAGGTCGATGAGGAGCACCAGCTGGATGAGGATGAAGAGGAAGGAGCCGACCACACCGAAGTAGAACCAGACTTGAGAGGAGGAGAAAAGCCAGGTGAGAACAGGGCAAAGGAGTCTCAGGTGCACAGCCCGGGGTTTGACCCCTCCTCACCTGAGGTGAAGGCACCGTCGGGGATGTAGAAGGCGCCCACCGTGATCCCCACCAGCAGCAGGAACTTGAAGAACCAGAAGCTGTGGGAGGAGAGAGGAGGCAGGGTGTGCAGCCAGCAGGGACAGGGATGGGGGTCCTGCCCGTCCCCAGCGCCCCAGGGAGCAAGGGGACCCCACGCACCCGTTCTGCAGGGCGGCCCGCGGGTCCTTGCTGCTGCGCACGCACACCGTGAGCACGGCGAAGAGGAAGAAGAAGGCGGCCATGGCGAAGCCCATGCGGTACACGGCCTTGTGCCCCAGGAAACTGCTGCAGTCCACGTTGGTCTGGACCCCCAGCACCGACCCACTGCCCTCACAGAAACCGGGCAGCTGAAATAGTGACGGGAGCGTGAGCATCACCTCAGCACATCCTGCTGGGGACTGACGGCTGTGGGGAGGTCTGGATCCGAGATCTACTGGTTGAACTGAAGATCAGCTTTGTGAAGCCCTCAGGTTGCCCAGAGCAGCTGTGGCTGCCCCTGGACCTTTGGAAGTGTCCCAGGCCAGGTTGGACAGGGCTTGGAGCAGCCTGGGACAATGGGAGGTGGGGATTGATGGTTGTGGGGAGGTCTGGATCCAAGATCTACTGGTTGGATCAGCTTTGAAGATCAGCTTCTCCACTGTGAAGCCCTCAGGTTGCCCAGAGTAGCTGTGGCTGCCCCTGGACCTCTGGAAGTGTCCCAGGCCAGGTTGGACGGGGCTTGGAGCAGCCTGGGACAGTGGGAGGTGTTCCTGCCATGCCAGGGGTGGGAGGAGATGGGCTTTGAGATTCCCTTCAGCCCAAACCATTCTGTGATTCCACACCCACCACGAGCACTGGATGGGCCAAGACCATGACTGCTGCAGTGCTGAGGTGACACAGATAAAGCCATTCAGCCTGGTGGCTTTATCTGTGGTCAGCGGAAGCAGCTTTTCCCTAAAGCCCAGCTCAGCTGGCAGAGCTCTGCTCCCTCCACCCAAAATCTCACCTCCCGGATTTGCAAATCATCAGCTGAACCCCAAAAATGGGATGTAGGAAACTTCCCTGGGAGACATCTGGGAAAACTAAAAAATTGCGTGAAATGATCCCACTGCGTTTTCCCTGCCGTGGAAAACCAGGTCTAATAATGCCTTGTCCCAGTGAGGTGCTCAGAAAGAAGAACAGAAGCACATCATGACCCAAAAATTCACTTTTTTGATTCAGCCTCAAGTCCCCACCATGATCTGGGTTGTTTCTTCCCAGGGACCTCCAGGAGCTCTTTACCTTGTGCAGCTCCTTCTCCACACCCGGGATTATCATGATGATGGACACGAGGGTGCCCAAGAAGAGGAAGAAGGTGAAGAGGAGGCGGGAGATGGTGGAGTTCTTGGCCGAGGGGCAGCAGCCGCAGAGCAGGCACGGGGCAGAGCCGCAGAGACACGACACCTACAAGGAGACCAGCCTGGGATGAGGGGGAGAAACTGGCCCCAAAATACGTGTCCAGTTCGATCCTTACGGAGATCAGCCCGGGAATCCACGCTGCTGCCCAGAGCTACTCACACAACCCCACAGCCCTCAGGACCTCATGGAAACGGCACCAAATTCCCCAAAAGTGCTGCTGAAAACCAAAAGAGCTGCAGGAACAGTGTGGAAAATGGCACCCAGAGTCTGGAGGCACCCTCATGGTTTTTGCTCCATGCAAGGGTCAGAAAGAGAGCCCTGCCCTGCAGGAGCCTCCTTTTTGTACAAAAACGAGGTTTCCAAACTGCCCTTCCAGTTAAGTCCAGCATGGGAAGATTTTGGTATCAGCACCACGGAGGAAGCAGCTCATCCTGCTCTCCTTCCCCGCTGCAAAGGCCACTTTACAGCTGGGGAAACTGAGGCACGGCATCCCCGAGAGTCCCCAGTGGGTCCTGGCTTCCCAAATCCAGCACAGGCGGAGCTGCCAGGGGTGCCCCACCCCAGAGGCTCTGCTGTGCCGGAGCAGGGAAATCCCGGCTGAGGAAACCCAAAGTCACTGATACCAAAACTCTCCTTCCAAAGAAGGTTAAAGTTGCCCCAAAATGTGAACAGGCGAAGGAAGAAAGAGCAGGATGGAAAAAGGCGGTGAGGGAAGTGGCTGCAGCAGCAGGAGAGCCGGGGGTTAATGAGGAAGTGTAGGTTTTCAGCTGCTGGTGGATGATTAAACTCTCCAGTTTCACTGTGCACTTCCTCCTGCAGTCCGGCTCACCTCCGGGAGGCTCAGGCAGGGCTGCTCCCGGAGCTGGGCACGGCAGGGAAACGCCATGGGCCCCAAATACACCCGAACAGCGACTGTGCCCCAAAAACAGCGCCCCAAATACACCCGAACAGCGACTGTGCCCCAAAAACAGCACCCCAAATACACCCGTACAGCAACAGCACCCCAAAAACAGCGCCCCAAATACACCCGTACAGTGACTGTGCCCCAAATACACCCGTACAGCGACTGTGCCCCAAAAACAGCACCCCAAATACACCCGTACAGCGACTGTGCCCCAAATACACCTGTATACCAACTGTGCCCCAAAAACAGCGCCCCAAATACACCTGAACAGCGACTGTGCCCCAAATACACCCGTATACCAACTGTGCCCCAAAAACAGCACCCCAAATACACCCGTACAGCGACTGTGCCCCAAATACACCCGTACAGCGACTGTGTCCCAAAAACAGCGCCCTAAATACACCCGTACAGCAACAGCACCTCAAAAACAGCACCCCAAATACACCCATAAAGCAACAGCACTCCAAAAACCAGCCAAACTACACCAGTCCAACACCATCAGCCCCAAAATACCATCCAGCAACAGCATCACCCCAAACCCAGCAACCCCCACCACCAACCCAACAACATCACCCCAACACCAATCCAAAATCACCCACCTGACACCGCACTAATAACACCAACCTACACCACCAGCACAATTACATCATCCCGACTCCACCACCCCAACACCAGCCCAACTACACCAACCCAACACCTATCCAAAAACACCCTCACACCACTCCAACAACAGCCCAACTACACCAACTATATGACTGACCAAACTACACCAGCCCAAAAACATCACCCCAACAACACCAAGTCAAACCACCACCCCAACTACACCACCCCAATTACACCTTCCCAACTCCACACCACCACACCACCACCCCAACATCACCCCAAGAACACCAACCCACCACAACAGCCCAACTACACCAACACCCACCCAACTGCACCACCCCAATGCCCACCCAATATCACCCCAATGCCCACCCAATATCACCCCGAACCACCAAGCTACACCACCAACCCAACTACACCAGCCCAGCAACAGCCCAACTACACCCGGCCAACGTCAGCCCAACTGTATCACCCCACACCATCACTGCAATACCAACTCAAAATACCCACCCAACAACACCAACCCAACATCACCACCGCAATTACATCATCCCAACAACAACAGCCCAACTACTCCACCTCAACAACAGCCCGACTGCACCAACCAAACTACACCAGCCCAAACAACTCCAACCCAAAAACATCACCCCAACTTTCTGCTGGTAACCCCAACTCTGTCACCCAGGAGGGCGGCTTGGAATGACCACACTGCTCACAGCAGAGTCTGGAAAACCACAGGAGGCAGCAAAAGAGAAATTCTCCGCCTGTGGTTTCACTCAGGAGCCGCCTGTAGGGTTTCAATGGGGAACAGCTGAAGAAAGGGCTCGGCAGTCTCGTGGTGCTGTGACTCAGGGGATGCAGGCAGAGCAGAAGGAGTTAGGATGTTCTCGTTAAAAATAATAATAATTAAAAAAAATACAGATTTACGGATTAGGGGGAATGTTTCATTCAGTTTGGGCTTTTTGCAGTGTTTAATTAAAAAAAATACAGATTTACGGATTAGGGGGAATGTTTCATTCAGTTTGGGCTTTTTGCAGTGTTGTTGTTCTGTTTGTACAACTCGGACCTGTACAAAAACAGCCCCTTCATCAACGACTTCCACAGGAAGGAACAGGAAAATTAAACCCATACAGTGACTCTGCTCTGTTACCACAGTCTGAGCCACAACAGGTTTTTGGGGAAAAAAAATTCCAGAATTCATAGAGAAACCTCCACAGCCCTGCTCTGGAGTAAATCCCAGCACAGGAATGTGTTACAGAGGCCTTGCAGACCTCCCTCCCTCCCTCCAGTCCCTCATTTCTAAACATCCTGTTCGTTAAACCTCCAGCGCTCAGAGGTCAAGGTGCAGAACAGGTCCCATTTCCAGGTTTCCAGGCCGGCAGCTCCCAGGCTGGTTGCACAGCCCTGCCCTGGCCCCGTGCCCACAGGTGACGCACCGCCGGGGCAGGAAGTGCTGGTGTGGGCAGGTGTCTGCGTCACCCGAACCACGCACCCCACGTCATAGAGCACAGCACCCCAAATCACACACCCTGTGCCTGATACCCCAAATCACACACCCTGTGCCTGCCCTGGGCCATGGCACCCCAAATCACACACACTGTGCCTGCCCTGGGCCATGGCACCCCACACACAACCCCTGCACCCCCTGTCCCAGCTCCTTCTCTCACTCCATCCCCACTTTGGGGCTCAGCAGAGGGAACCAGGCAGGACCCCCCACTCCTTCAGGAGCAGTAGGACATCGCTGCTCTGGCT